CGCAAAGCCTCCCGTGGCTTTGCAAATGATGTCAGCCTTTTCTTAAAACCTTCCCGTGGGTCCCACTGCACAAGGAATGGCCTGGAAGACCCTGCGTGATGTGACCTCTACCCACCTCTCACCCTCCCCTGAAAGCCCTCTCTGTGTCACACACCGTGATCCAGCCCCACGGGCCTTCATTCTGCTCCCTCTGCCTGGGAACCACCCTCACGGGCCTGACTGCTGCTCATCACACAGTTCTCGGCATCCCTGTCCCCTCCTCGGAGTGGCCTTCCCTGATCCCCACCACCCACCCCGGCTGGAGTCGTTCTCCTTCCCTGTCGCCGCATTGCATCGTCTCGATCCATTTTAGAGCACTTAACACTAAAGTCATCTTGGGTTTTTTTCTGTATTTATTTATTTCCCACCCCCAACACATACCCCAGAATGTAAGCCCCAATAAGAAAACAATTCTTTCTTTTCTTTCACTTCTACATCCCCAACATTGAGTACGTGACGGTGCAACTGGCCATCAGCAAATAACATGCTAAGTGGATGCATGGCCCCTAGTGGGAGGTGCAGATGCAGTGAGACCAGAAGATATCAAATTCTACCACATGGTGGCAGCACATACCTGGCCAACTGAGGTTCTTCTATAATACCTTACACGGAGAATATGCAGAAAGCCTGGAGAAATCGTCAGCCATTAGGCCTTCCTGGCTTTCCAAGCTTCCACACCTGTCTGAAGAACCTACATGCAGTGAAGACCAGCCATCAAACCATTGTAAAGGAGTCTAAAACTTTACATTGTTCCTAATTGTTCTGTCTTTATAATGCGCACATTAATATTCTTCCAAAATATTGTTTAATAATAATAATAAATTGCGATTGTAAGGTCCTTTACTTTTTACAAATTTTTGCCATGTGTTTGGGTACAAAAAATTAATATGTGAAACATGCAGCGATAAAGTGCTAAACCTTGGTTGTTTAGCCGGTTAAAAATAAAGAGGGCAGTGTGGAAAGGGAAAAGAAAACATGGCTTGGAGAAAGAGGACCTGAGTCTGAATCCTGGTTAGGTCTCTGTCAGTCACTCAATCTTGAAGTAAGTGTCCGGTTTCAGCACATGACTGGCGCTCCGTGCATGTTTGTACAAATGCATTTGTAAAGTGGGAGTGATCGTAATAATACTAGCTTCTGTGGTGGTGAGAATTAAATGAAGTCATGAATTCAAACGGGCTTTGTAATTCATAAAATGCTATGATATATTATGTGTTATTATTATTGGGACCTAACTGTGCGGTCGAATAATAAGAGAGCCTGTAGTCGGAACAGAGGGGTTATTGTACACCAGAGGTCCCAGGGAAGGCTTCCCAGAGATGGGGAGGGAAGACAAAGTGCTACAAGGCATCCTTCTCCATCACAACCAGCAGATGTGCCCCCAGGGGAAGCTCTCCAGGCAGCAGGAGCGCAGTTTACCCTTACTACGGTGGGAGGTGAGTTCTTCTTCAGGAGCAGAGCCCACATACAGTTCCCTCACGGCTACATCCTCTCAAGGCTAACGGTTATTTTCCACCATACTGGATCTGATCATATTTCTGGTAGGACTCCTTCCACCCCACCTCACACAAATTAGCATCCTCGGGAAAAAGGCTCTTGATCGATTCAGCATCTTATTATTGCCTCCATAATTGTTATAGTTATGACTATGACAGTCATTCTAAGGAAAATCATCCGTATGTGGAAAGCAGAGGGAGGAAGAGGCTCTATGGCTCTGAGCAAAGTTAGAAGGCCAGCAAAATTGAGCGAGGTGTCCATGACTGTACGCTTCCCAGCATACGGGGGAAGCTGGCTGTGAGCCGCAGGGGTGGAGAGTAACTATACTATGTCAGAAAAGGCCCTTTCTTTCTCCTCCCTGCCCAAGCGTTGTACACCTCCTCTTCCAATGTCTTCAGTGCCCCTCACCTCCTCTCCATCCCCTCTGAGACTGCCCTCGCTCAGGTCCTCGTCACCCCATGCCTAGATTTTTGCAGTGTTCCCATCACCCACCTCCCAGCCTCTAGTGAAACCCCAAAAGGGTCTTCCCCAAATAGATGGTATCATGTCACTCCCCTGTTCAAAGTCAGCAAGAGCTTCTCATTTATTCGAATGTACATGTTGAAGTCTTCATCGTGGCTTGAAAACCTTCATAGACTGGCCACTGCTTTATCCTATCAGCCCAGAGACAGACAGACAGACTCATGGTGCCTGTACACGCCCCACCCGTTCATGTCTCGTGTCCCCACTCCTCTTAGCCTGATGATCTGGAAGTACCTTATCATCCTCCCTTCAAAGCCCTGGCTCAGACTGCGTCCTCCAAATATTTCCCAATATTGGGATTATTTTCTCCTCCACCTCTCCTAAGCATTTTATTTGAGTTCAGGATACTCTGCCTTGGATCTGAGCTACTGAGTTCATACTGTTAGTTCCCCCAAATCGACAGGTCAGGATCTGTGCCTGAGTCACTTCCTGCATTACTATTTAGCACCCAGATATAGTTGGAGCTGAATAAATGCCTGGTGAGTTGCAAGTGTATTTCATCACCTTCCTTTGACTTATTCTCGCAAAGACTCTGAGGGATGAGTCCTTGCGGGTAATGACCGTGGGCGTTACACATGGGCAGACCAGAGGCCAGATAACTTGGCCCCGGCCAGACACCAACCGATGGAACCTTACACAGAACCAAGCTCCGTGCAAAAAAGCAAGAGGGCCCATCCTGGGAGGGCGCCTCCTCTGTGGGGACGTGCCCCTGGTGACTCTGATGAGTCATAATACTGTAAGTTAATGATTAAGAGTCCAGACCCTGTGTCTGGATCCTGGTTTCATCATTTCTACCTCTACGATTCTGGGGACGTTTCTTGACCTCTCTGATTCCTCATGTAATAGCAACCTCTTAGAACTGCAGATAAATTAGACAGCATGGAATACCTCGCACTGAATCAGGCACACACTGATACACAACTAGAGGTTTGTGGTTATTAAACCAGCACTAAGAGCATTAAAAAACAGCATCAGATTTCTCTTTTGTGCCTGGGAATAGCGGTGAAGAGTCCAAAGTACCACCCTAGGAATGGGGAGGAGAAGGAGAGGCTGGAAAAACATCCCCTGGTCGCCAGAGCACATTCCCAAGATACCAAGCCACGCATCGGCATTTCCCAAGCAACAAGTCACTGTCATTTCCTCCCCAATGCCCTGGGAAAGTGCGCAAATTGAGTTCATTCCACGAGACGCTGTCTCCTGTTCTCAGGCCCAGTCGTGACCCTCACCAGCTATTTGATACTCAAGAGCCAGGTATCCACCATATTGAATGTGGTCCCAGGCTTAAAGCAGTTTGCTCAGAGTCGGTGTACACAGGGAGATCTGCTCGGTGCTCTGTGACCATCTAGATGGGTGGGATAGGGAGAGTGGGAGGGAGACGCAAGAGGGAGGGGATATGGGGTTGTACGTATACATATAGCTGATTCAGTTTGTTATAAAGCAGAAACTGACACACTATTGTAAAGCAATTAGACTCCAATAAAGATGTTAAAAAAAAAAAAGTAGGTGCACGGAAGAGATGCCACCTTTCTTCTCTGAATCCAGAGAAGTATTAACTGAATTCAGTCAGCCAAATGGAAGGCAGAAGACAGAAAAAGATGAGACGATTCAACAGTGACTGGGAATCAGGAAAAGGCCGCTTCCTAGGAAGCAGTACAGAGGCTTACGAGTTCAGTCCCTAAAGTCAGCCAGCCTGGGTTCAAATTCCTACCCTATCACGTCTAGCTGCATGGCTTTGAGCAAGTTATTTAAGCATTTTGCAATTCATTTCCTCGCTTAAAAAAGTAAAATTACGGCCAGCATCTGTATCAGAATTGTGAGGGTTAAATGAGGTAATGCACATAAATGCTGCCTCGGCCAGGGCCAACGTTCACTTGGGTAAGAGGCTTGGTGGTGATGCTAATTTGACCCTAACACAGCCTGGCTGAATATTTTTATTCCCATTTCACAGTTGAGTAAACTCTGACTCGAGAAGTTAAGTGCCTTACTTGAGGTCCCACGGACGGTACACAGCAGATCTTCTAACTCAAGTTCTTCTCTGTTTCTGCCCAGGACTCCAGCAAGGGATCCAGATGCCTTAGGGTGGAGGAGCTGGGACCAGAATGGACATCTTCTTGGGAACTCAGAGGATAATGAAGGTGCACACCAAGAACCAACGGAGCCTCATGGCTAGGTAAAATGTCCACGCACTCCAGATCACTACATAGGACCAGGTAAGAGCACGCCTGCCGAGAAAGTCTCTCTCCTCTATTTGCCTAAATAGCCCAACTTGTGCAAGATTTAACTATTCTTCCCCTGCCAGGTTTGTACACCTGAGGTCATTTAAGTCATGGGAAGTCTTATTACAAGGGGCAGATGTGAGGTTTCTTCTAGAAGGAGTGCAAAGTCAGTGGGTATCAGCAGGAAAGGCAGGGAGGCCCCAGGCTTGCCCCCAGGGCTATTTCAGGGTGGCCTGAGCTACAGAAAAAGACCACCTCTCGAGGACCCCCATCTGTGGATGGTTGATCCCAGGTAAAATCAGCTTAATCGAAGAATCGAGGCAGTATCGATGGGTCAGGAACTGCAACTGGAGTGTGTTAGGACGAGGAGGACGGGGTGACCTCAAGGATTACGAATGACTTGAGGGAGTCATGAACTGTGGCATTCGTCACCCTTTAGCTATTGTTGTGATGTCACTGGGAATTCGCCTTTGACTTATTGCTCTGGCCCCAGCACTCATAGGATGGCTTGACAGGTGGTCCATAGACACCTGTCAGATGAACATATACGAGCCACCATCATTCGAATTGAGCTTAGGCACACCCTCAAGCAGCTTCTCTTTCCTTTGGTCCTCATGACATCACTGAGGGTTCCGTGTGGCACACGCGGTTATCCAAGATATGCAAAAGGCTCATCTGGGAGCATCTAGCTTCTGAGCACAATCGTGTGAGCTCTCTACGCTGCCACACTTGGAGTGATGGGGATGCAGGGGAAGGGGGAGGGGCTCTGCCTGATGCATTCTGGGACAAGTGCCAGCTCTTTGCTCCCTCCTTCCTTTCTCCTGCACGGGTTGCAGGAAGAACCAAAAGTTTGGGCCCATGTGGCATCCGCCTTAGGCTGTCCTAGCTGTCACTCTCACTAGCTTCTCTGAGCAGAAGAGCCAGGGGAGATACTTTCAGAAGAGCTGTGGCTTTTCAGTGGACAGAACTGGAGTCTAGGACCAGCTCAGCTCTCTGCTGGCTGTGGCCCCTTGGCAAGTCACAAAACGTTTCTGTTCCTCACTTTCCACATCTGTCACCTGGGGTGTCGTAACGTGGACTAAATGGCAATGGGGATGTGAAGGACCTTGGGTGGTATCTGGCACATTACGGGTCCTGGAAAAATTGTCATGAGGGGTAAATGAGAAAATACATGCCAAATGCTTATCACAGGGTAATTTGATACCTGGGTTCAATGAATGTTGCTACCACAGTTATCGTTTCCGACCAGCTCTCATCCCTGGGGTGTAACGTCTGTGCAGCAGCCTTACCCCGAGAGCTCCCTCACTCTGGCCACCATGCTTTCCTCCTCCCAGCCTCACTGACAACCACCCACTGCCTCTCCACCCTCACTGGGCTCCCCGACCACTCTAGGCCACCCATCACCCAGTCCTCTGGGCTTGAGTCTTGTCCAGCCGGGCCCTCAGGGTCAGGCCCGTCACCATCCTCCCTGACCTGCTGGAACCCCTGCGTCTCGAAAATCCATAGACTCTGTCTGCAAACCCTGGGTCATGTCACGTCACCAAATGCCCCATCATGCCTTTTCTGTTTCCCTCCTCAGTTGGGCAGTTTTAATCGTCTCGTGTCCATTTTGAGCACGTTCTTCACCTGAGTTGCCCCAAACCTTCTCCAGCCTCCCAGGGTGCCTGATTCTACCCCAGCCTTCCTTTCTGGCAGGTGACTTTGCCTTCCTCGATGAGCACCTCTCCACATCCCATGAGGGATGAGCCACAGACCGCATGGCACAGCTGTGGGCAGTCGAGAGGGAGGGGGACGGAAAGGGTAGAGGTGGAGGATGTGGGCATCACGGGAGTAGAAGTGGGCCTGAGTGTAGGCCTGCAGACCCACTGACCCAGAGCCCTGATCAGGAGAGGCAAGGCCTATCGTGGAGCCTGGCACGGCATAGCTGCTCAGTAAACACCCCCTTACTCATGCCCTGTGTTGACGCGGAATATTTTTTATTGTTTTCAAAACCACCTCAAGAATGCTGGTGTCCGGGATCGAGCTGCCCACAGCTCTGCCATCTTTTGGACTCCATGTCTGGGCAGGGATTGAAGAGGGGGAGGCCTACTCAGCTCCTATAACCCAAGGTAATATACTAGTGATGACCCAGAGCCCTGGGGAGGAGACCGGGGGGACTCTGCTGGGTCCGTGGGAAGCGCTGGAGTCTAGGGGAAAAGATCAAAGGAGGCCCAGGAGCAGGTGGGAATGTATATGCTGATTTTCAGGAATCAGGTGTCCTCAGAGGTTGTGATTTTCAACGTCCCATGCCATCCAGGGCAGTAAGGTTGCGGGCCATGAGCCTGGTAAGAAGCACCGGTGTCTGATGTCGTGGGGGACACTGGTTACCAGCCTGGCTCATCTTCTGTGCACGCAGACGTGGAGTGGGAAGCAGGCTGCAGGGACCGCTCTGTGGAGGGGACGGCCCAGAGCCCCACAGAGGGCCCGTGGCGGCAGGGCAACACGTGCAGGATGGAGTTTGGGAATCGGCTTCTCATTTGGGCTCCGTAGCTGACTGCGTGTGGGGCAAGGAAAGTGGCCCTTCTGCCCACAGGGCCTCCATTTGAAATTTGGAAATTGGTCAGGACCAGTGGTCTTAAACTTGGGTGGGTACCAGAGTCATCACCTAGTGGGCTTGTTAAAACACAGATGGCCGGACCCTACCCCGTCAACAGGTAGGGGTGGGGCCTGAGTCTGTATTTCGAACAAGTTCCCAGATGGAACGGGTGCTGCTGACCCAGGGACCACACTCTGAGAACTGCTGGTCTAGGTGATGACGACTAGAGCTTCTTCCAGCTCTGAGGTTTTAAGATCTGATTTCCAAGAAGTACGTAAATGGGAAGAAGACATTTTAAAATAAAGGAGAATTTTTGAAGAAGTAAGGGGAGATATTTCCAAACAGATGACCTAGCTGTGGCCACAGGCAGGCACCCAGTCATGGCCCAGGCCTAGCAGGAATGGGGCAGCAGGCCTGGTGAACCTGCTCTCTCCTCCCTTATGCTCTCAGGATTTCTTTTCATTGGATTTTCATTGGATTCTACGTCCGAGACCATATTTCATGACGCCAGCTGCTTGAGTCTGTAATGAAATACTTTATGTGAAGGCAGTTTGCAAATATAAAGTATAAGACAGGGGCTGATTTTTAACATATGTTTATATTTTCTGTTTTATCTCCTTCAAAACAGCAAATGATAATTGCAATAAAAGACAGACATGTAGTTGACGGGAGAGAGTTGAATGGGATGGAATGGAAGTGATTTGAATTAAATAAGAGTTGCATTATCCCTACTCATAGAAACCAAACACTGAATGTAGGTGGGAGGGGAAGCCCGGTGACTCCAAAGATGAAAGAGAAAGGCTGTCCCCAGGGACTGAGAAGTGGACGGCACAGTAGCGTAGGGCGTGGGTGTCATGCCGAGTGCTGTGTGTGGAGAATATGTGCTTTCAGGAGACCTGGAGCCACGTGGAGACGTGGTCTTCTGTACCCGGGAGCCTAGACTCTGGTGAGCCAAAATGCCTTGGGGCTGCAGTCAGAACATTTGGTGACCAAGTCCCAGAATGAGAGCTCAGGCTTCCTGACCCCTGGCCAACGTCTTTCCCACCATCTCAACATCCTTCCATGGCCTTGCAGTTTCCCCGCTATCGGTACGGCAGAGCACCTTAGATGTGGACCCAGCCCCTTCCCGTTTGGGCTTTCTGTCTACACTTGTGCAACTACTCCTTCCAGCCATCTACCCAGATGTGCCCTCCACACACACAAGCACAGACATCTACAGGGACTGAAGAGCTGGTTGAATGCCGTTCACCCACGAGCAATACCGCCTTCGACCCCAGGACAACCAAGGCCCCTGACCTAAGTCCTTTGACTCCGAGGGCCTTGCGTCCTAAGCCTTGGGTCTTCCCATGAGATGAGGAGTCTGAGGAGCTAAGGAGACAAGCCCACCGGGAGCCCCCTGCCCACCTGGACCATGCTCCAATACACATGCCTACGCCTGGGGGGGTGGCCGAACAGTGGCTGTTACGGGGAAGGGCTGCAACGGAACCAGGCCAGCCACACATCGGTGTGCAAAGCCCCTGGGGGTTCAGGTCAGAGCTGGGATGGGAGGGCAAGTTGGGCCCCAGGCCTGCCCATAAGCCTGAGGAATTATATTCTATTTGTACTGGGAAAGAGGCGAAAGAGAGGCAAAGCCAGAGTCGTGGCCAAGTCTCAGCCTCTAGATCTGGCGAGAGAAGCCCAGCCAGGTGGGTGCCCCACCTGCAGAGTCCCGTGGCCCCTAAGGAGGGCCCACCCTGCTGGTGGAATCACCCAGCGTCACTCGAGAGTCCTTCTCCGAGGGATCAGCTGCACTCTTCATGAGAGTTGTTTCAAGCCAAGATCCCAGTTACCCTTGAGAACGCTCGCAAGTGGACTGCTGGCCAGGATGGCGCCAGGCAGCCCAGACCTCAACAAGCCCACGACCTTCTTCTGACCTCTGCATAGGAACAGGGCCAGCAGAAGCCCTAGATGGAGTCCAGTGGGCAATGTGTTTTGGAAACACAGCTGAGGCACGAAGGACCTGCTTTCTGTGGGCGGCACTGGAATTTAAACAGGCTGGGGCACTGAACGCTCACCAGTCGGATAAATGTAAGTCCTGGATTTAGGCTCAAAAGCTCAGCTAAACAAGAATCAAACGGAAGAGACCCCAGTAATCAGATCATCGAGACCGCAAACTGTCAGCTTGCCACAAACTTATCTGAGCCAACAGCCGGCTAAAAGAAAAACAGAAAACAAATGCAACCTTAGATTGCATTAAGTATAAGAGCCCAAATACAGCAGGTAGAAATGGGTCAGGCCATATGTGGTGTGTTGTGCTCTGTTTTCAGGCCCTTTTTTTTTTTTTTTTTGCGGTACACGGGCCTCTCACTGTTGGTGGCCTCTCCCGTTGCGGAGCACAGGCTCCGGACGCGCAGGCTCAGCGGCCATGGCTCACGGGCCCAGCCGCTCCGCGGCATGTGGGATCTTCCCGGACCGGGGCACGAACCCGTGTCCCCTGCATCAGCAGGCGGACTCTCAACCACTGCGCCACCAGGGAAGCCCCTAGGTAGCCCATTTTTAAGACTATAATCACAAACCAGAATATTCTCTAATCAGTAGAACGACATGGTGAGGAGCTTAGAAAGTAGCCTTGAAAGAATTTTTAAGGAAAGGGCTGTTTAACCAAGAAGAGCCAGGAATCCCGGAGATTTGACCGCTACCTTCCGATATCGCGGAGTCATATGGAAGAATGCTTGCTCCAACCCGGGTGTGACAGCGGATGTTGAGAAACACACCCCGTCAATAGAATTGACACGCTTTTTGGAGAACAGCATGGCCTTCCATACCAAGGCCCCTAAAAATCCTCATGCTCTTTGGTCCAGGATTTCTACTGCTAGGAATTTAGCTCAAAGAAGTACTTAGAACGTGGCAAAGATTTTCCTACAATGATGTTTACTGCCGTGTTATTTATAATATCGAAAATTTAGAAACAACCTAAGTGTCCAACAGTAAGGAAATGGTCACACACATCGTGATACAGCCATGCCACAGACAATTTGGCAACCGTTAAAAATATGTCTTCGAAGACTATTCAGTGTTCTGAGAAATGTTCACAATGTCAGGGAAAAGAATGAGCGAGATACAAAACCTATAATGAAATACAAATTTTGTAAAACACATGCATACTTCTTCCACAAATAGGAAGAAATACACCAAAGTGCTAGCAGTGCTTATCACTGCATGTTATATTTATCAGTGATCTTTCGTTCATATCCATTTTTTTATGCTTTTCAAGTTTTCTGCAATGCGTATGCATCATCTTTATAATCAGAAAAAGAAGTATTAAAAGTATTTGGGGGCTTCCCTGGTGGCGCAGTGGTTGAGAGTCCGCCTGCGGATGCAGGGGACGCGGGTTCGTGCCCCAGTCCGGGAAGATCCCACATGCCGCGGAGCGGCTGAGCCCGTGAGCCATGGCCTCTGAGCCTGCGCGTCCGGAGCCTGTGCTCCGCAGCAGGAGAGGCCACAACAGTGAGAGGCCCGCGTACCGCAAAAAGAAAAGAAAAGAAAAGAAATTTGAAGAGCGAGGATTTCCCTGTCTGTCCAGTGGTTAAGGCCCCCTGCTTCCACTGCAGGGGTCTCAGGTTCGATCCCTGCTCAGGGAACTAAGATCCCTCATGCTGCACAGCGTGACACACACCCCTCCCACCCAAAAAATTTGAAGAGCAGTTGTGGGCTGAATAGGCGATAGACTCACGTATGAAATAGCAGCTAGAGCTGCTCAGTACCAGCTTCCCCATGAGGTGGAGGCCTCCCTGTCACTGAGTGTCAGGGACAGGGTGGGAGGTTGAACAAGAGGGCTGCTAAGTGTGGGAACCAACAGGGTGAAAAGGGAAAACGACATTTACTGTGGTCCTGCTATAGTCAGGTTGCTCCAAGTCTGAGCTCTACCAACAAAATAACTCCCGTAATGAGGTAAAGCTGGTAACAGTTAGAGCTGGGATCTCAAGCCAGGACTTCCTGCCTCTTCAGCCCATGTTTGAAAGAGGCTTTTCCCTCTGCAAGAGCCAGGCCTGCTCTAGTCACCTGTTTATACGCCCAGCCTGCATCCCTTCTTAGGATCAAGGAGCAGGTAGGAAATCTTGCAATTACAGAGACTTTTCTCCCATAGATTTGTGAAGGCCTAGGGTGGAGATCTCTCTGGTACAGGAGTTGCTCAGCGAGTAGCTGGAACCCAGCTGGATTCTCAGACTGCAGTTCCCCCCACCCCATCACCAGGCATCTTGGGGGGCACTCATGTGGATCAAAACTCCAGCTGATGGCCTCCCTTTTAAAGTATGTAGAATAGTTTCCTTTTCTATCCATGAAGCATGAAGTTACCCTCAGAGGCAATTCATCCACATGTGAAATATCCTATCTTCTCACCTCAACTTTGCTGCCTTACTCACCTGAAGCCATTTGGCTAAGGTGTCAAAGAGCACAGAGCCCAGTTCCCTTTCACAGAGGGCAATACTGAGTCTGCTGTCAAAAGTGCTAGACACGAAATCTGGGACAGCTATGTGTCTGTCTCCGCTCAAG